TTTACCGCCTTCACCGCTTTCATCGCGTACCGCAGTACCGCACGGGTATCATCGGCTGTTACACCTCGTCCTACATGAGCGATCAGATGTGCGGGCAACGGGTGCGATGACAGATCCGAGCGACTCGAGAATGGACTCGTATTGCAACAGAGCTCCATGAAACATAAACATAAAATTTTTCGGTAGTTGCTCTCAGTTAACAGAGTTGTATATTTCTTCGATCACTACATATTATCAACTGAAACAACGCATCGTGCCGTTCGTGTAGCATGCTGCAAGTCTACATAGGACACTCTGGTCGCGTTCACTGCCTTCACCGCTTTCACCGCGTTTATTGCACCGGTTGTGTCAGCTTGTCTTTCTTTTATAATAGCTATATTTGCGCTAGGGCGTACCAGAACTGAGATATTTGTAAAACCCGAAACATGTCGTCATTTTGTAAGTATGGCGGCGCCGGCCGTCGAAAAAATGACAAGGTTGATAATTTAGTATGTTATTTCTGACATAATAATCTATCATTTCCCAAAATTACAAAACTTCCCGCCTTAACTTTTGAAAAAATTACTCATTGCCTGTGCTAAAAAGTGAAATTAAATATCATTACAATTGCACAACGGTGACTCTCGAGGTGTCTTCTAAGGAACCATTTTAGAGGTCTTGTAAATACTTCACAACAACACAATTGAAAAATGTTTCATTATTTACAAAATCGAAATATTTTCATAACTAAATTAATTTTTATATAATTTTTTACCTCATTGAGATTAGCGCACAATGGTCTCGATCCATATGAGGCTCTGCCAAAAATGCTTTTTTGCTAACATCTTCATTGACAGTGGAAATTATTTTTACAATAAAGTAGATAGGTTGAAGTTTGATTTATCCAAATATTTTGTTTTTTGAAGTTCTCACTATTATTGTAGACAGCCTCAAAGTTGACCTTTCGGTTACTGGCGAAAAAGGTCTGAGTGCATGTATCAAAAATATGATGAAATAAAGTTATAGATTCTTAAATTTTTTTAACGTATTATACAGCAATGGAAAAGGTTACTTTATCTATACATTTTCTTTTTCATACCCATGTTTAAAATAAAAAAAAATTACTTTGACTAAACTTTTTTTGCCGGATCTGCCCGGGTCAAGTGAAATGCTACTTGTGACAGCTCTATCTACCTATACAATGCTATCTTATACTATTGTATAGGTAGATAGATTATTGAAATGCTGTATGGGTCTTAACTCATACTGTATTTCGATGCATTTATATGTGAATGGAAAATTTTCGAAACAAGGTAGTGTCACAGGTTTCTAACACGTAACGTCATTATGATAATTTATTTCTTAAAATGTTTATAGATAATTAAATATATCTTTAGTGACAATAATCAACTGTGTCCTATTTTGCTGATCATTATTAGGTGCCCATGCGGTTTATCATATACTGCAAGCTTTTATCGATACGAAAATAATGTTATTACTATCAACTTTACACGCCTGGATCAGGCTTATGGAATTCTTCATATATCTTATAAACTATCATTTCAAAAGTGGTCTACGATCATCATCTTGCCCAGCTTTTATTAATTTTATTAAGTTTTTGACCTGTGCCGATTTTTTCTTGCTGCTTTAGAGGTTCTAGTAACCTCAATTATGTATCGAAAAATGTATGCAACCATCAATTTTTATTCGTTATCTCGCTGTAAATAAATAAATAGTCAAAATTTACTTTCGTTTTACAAAAATTCATTTATTCAAAGAGTTTTCCATGAATTTATATAAAAAATGGTAATCAGTGTCCCAAAAACCCCTAGGTACTGTTATTCACAATAATTGATTAAATGTTTGATTTTGAGTCCCCCATATTAGATTCGTCATTTTGAATTTTAAATTTCTGGTGGCATTTTCTCATTCAGCGAATCAAAAAACCCTTATGTACCAAGTTTCATAAAAATGGGCACAAAAGCAAATTTTGCGGCTCAAAGGGTTAATGTTTGTTATTTTTTAATAAACAAATTAATAACATTTTATTGGCTTTTCATTGCTCATATTAAACTTTAACCCTTTCCTGTCCCAAAAACCAAATTTCATAAGAATTCGTCTAAAATGACAAAGGTACAGATTTTTGGCAAAGAAATGTCCGTTTGACACTACTTCTGTGGAGCGCCTCAGCTTTGTGAAGCTCTGCAGCACTTAATGAGGAGCCGCCACTGCAGGTACACATCCTATTAATTTCAGTCTAAATATATACCTATTTACGTATATTACTGTAACAAAATCCTGTATATCTGATAACTCTAATCAGTATAATTACGTAAATTGAGCCTCTAATTAGCCTTACCAGGATTTGCACATTAGCCATCGATTTATTGCAAACTGATAATCCTAGAGTAAACTTCTCCATTGGCGTTGTACAAAATAATTTAAACTGACATATTTATATTTACTAAAATTAAAGACTGTTGATTAAGGAAATATATGTCGATGTATGTACTATTAAAAATTATTAAATAAAAATCTAAGCTGTTCTACTTTGAGCAATCGAGAAGAATCGAGAGAATACCTCAAAATACCACCAGCTAGTGATGTAAACAAGTTTACTTATCCGAGTTTCCAATAAAAAATACACCACATAAATCAGACAACCCCCAAATCCAAAGCCAGAGTTGCTAACACACAACCACTCCAATCGACTTTGTCAGGGTCGAAGCCAGGATTTAAACCGGGGAGTCGGCAGACAGTAAAAGCAGCTACGTTCATACCTCAATGCTCTAGCACACTGGGCTCCTAAGCTCGGTAGCACTGTTGCTTTTTACTTTTATTTAACTGTGGCAATAATAATATTTTGACTTTCGTTTCTTCCGAAAAAAAGTACAATAATCATAAACACCTTCGATATTTTAACCTTTTAATGGAATCCATTGTTTTCCTAATACCAAAATAATTAATTTTTGTTTGTCAGTTTGTCGACCTGCACACACACACACACACACACACACACACACACACACACACACACACACACACACACACACACACACACACACACACACACACACACACACACACACACACACACACACACACACACACACACACACACACACACACACACACACACACACACACACACACACACACACACACACACACACACACACACACACACACACACACACACACACACACACACACACACACACACACACACACACACACACACACACACACACACACACACACACACACACACACACACACACACACACACACACACACACACACACACACACACACACACACACACACACACACACACACACACACACACACCCCCCCACACGCACCCACGCGCCCAGCCACGACACACACACGCACACAGGCACACGCGCGTGCGCGCCTCACACACACACACAACGCACGCACGCACACAAATTAATACGAATGTCAAAATTTCAAATGAAACACCATGACAATTTATAATTATTACGTACATGTTTGAAATAAAGATTTGTGGTATAATGTCTGTCATCATAATTTACAAAGCAACTACAATGGCTTGTTTGTTCTAAATTTGCATTACCACCTTATTAAATTTATACTACCTAGATATCATGGTTTCACAAAGAGCAAATATCAAAACAACCGCAAATTTATGATATTCGGGTGGTTTACGAATATGAAATTAAATTAATATTAAGCAAATAAAATCAGAGGACTTTATACAGAATGGTCTATAAATATAACTTTGATTCAGTTATTTTGTGTTTAAGATGAAACTATATACAGTATCGTGTATAATTTATTTGCATCAAATCTATAAATTAAATATGAAAATTGAGATGAAAATATCTTTATCATGAATGACAAAAATAGCAGCTGGTCTTACTAGATTAGATTACGAAAGTGCCATTAAAGCTCGCGTAGCCGCCCTTCATTGCGACCTGGAAAGATCTTTTGTGATAACCTATCAATTTTTAGGCTACTGAAGAAACCTAAAAATTTTTGGAGGCTTTTCCCACGTCGGCAGGTGTTTGCAACCTCTTTTGCTTCTATTCCTTTATGCATTAACACTCACAGCCAGGTTTTTTTCTAATTAGTTATTTAACGTTGGTCTATTCCGCTACCAAGACCAATCACCGACGCCAAGATATAAGCTCATTAGTGCCAGTTGTAGATATTTCCAAACAATATTTGACCTAAATATAAATGAATTTAGAGCTTTGCGCTGCTGAATTGTTCTTCCAGAGAATTTTCTGTTGAAAGATGATGAGGGTACGTACTAAGACTTTTAACCCACATTTGGCCTATATACTACGCCTACTTCCATCCCTTCTTCATTTATGATCAATCTGAATATCTAAAAAGTGTAACTTTTCAAATTGGGATCCTTCAGAGCTCAACTTTGGCGGTTTGTTAGTATACTGAAGAAACATCTTTCCATGTTCTGGGGCTGTATGAAGCGTTCGGGCGCCTGAGACATAGCATCTTTGGTATTGAGGCGTTTCTAAGGGAGATCCCTTGCACTGAGTGACATCCTGACCGTCATTAGAAGATCGTAAAGATTCGACGAGGGAGCAAGAGAAGTACATGGCTGATGGAACAGCGGGGGGTTTGTAAAAATGACTTGCTTGCCGCCTACTTTCCAGGCGTCAGCCTACCTCACCATTACCATTATCATTAGTACCACTACAAATTTTCTCTCAAATTCGAACATAGCTGGATGTAAATAGGTTTGGTCTTCGGCCTAATTGATGTTCATTAAACACACTCAAATCCCCAACCAGACCGCCTCTACAAACTATCGCTACGATTTTTCTTTCCTTATTGTTTTTAGGTGATTTAATTTTACAATATATAAATAGTGAATAAAATGATAAACTTTTTTTTAACACCTCATTTATATTAATGTCCTGGAGGAGTATAGCACATTGCTATTCCATTATTCAACAACGATCTAGCCAATACCGTCTCGGTATTTTAAAAACGCCACTCTACATCCATGCCCTAACCGGGATTCGAACCCGAAGCCGCTTGATCTCAAACCTAACGTTTAAGCACTGAGCCACCGAGATAGAGGCAAAATTGGTGACCCTAATCAATTAACCAAAATTGTTTTCTTTACCAACTAGAAGACAGTAATAAACAAAAGCAATATGAAATGAAACAGAATTACTAATATTTTGTAATATTGTATCTCCTTCTCTAGCTTTTATGACTGTTCTACAACTGCTTTGCATACTCAAAATTAAGAAGCCTTAGTCCAAGCGCTTCTTCCTAGAGTGTCTCAGAAATGCCACATGGAATTGAAATCTTTCGAACGTGTTGGCTAAGCTCAATTCTCACCTCCTTGGGATACTGCCTGACTAGATGTATGGATGTATATTATCGTGCATAAGCACAAAATCATCGCCAGTAAATGGAGTAAATACGCAATTTATTATTCTACAACCTCTCTGTATATGCGCGTGAACACATCAGAGAAACATAGTGAATGAACTAATTCTGGTAATTCTTCAATACTGGCCTTTCGGCCCAGTTTAAGAGAGCTATTTTGGCAGTACTTGAGGATATGCCAAGTATCGGTTCGGGTCCGATGAATCGTGATCATCCTCCTTATCTCGCCAAGGAGTCGACTATTTCATTATCTTCCAGACCAAAGTGGCCCGGTATCCAGACCAGAGTCACTTTGTTGTTTTTGCCTTAGAGCCTTCTAACAGTTCCATACCGTTTTAGAGCACCGGTTGAAGTCAAGAGCATTTAAAGTTGTTTGGTTATCTGAGAATATTTTTATTGATCTGCGTGCACGATGCATATATTTCGGCACACAGTCCAATGGCATGAATGTCGGCCTGAAATATAAATGCATTAGTACCTAGGCTTGAGAATATCCTCACCCTTGGTTTGTAGCTACGTACTCCGGCTTCTGTTCCCTAGGGAGTTTTGGAGTCGTCTGCCTTTAATAAGTCGGTTTTGTTCCGATCCCACTCATCTCTTTCAAGAAAAAGGATGTTAAAGGTCAGCTCGTAGTTGGTCATGGTAGGCATAGTATCCGAGAGCATTCCCAGGATGCTGTGACTTTGTATATCATCCAACAGCCTGTTCCGCTCTATGATACTAGTCTGCTGCATATTGTTGACCATTTGCTGCAATCTATAAGTTGTCCATCTGGCCTCTCTCTCCACATGTATATATGAACAAGGGGACTCAGGAGTATTTCCATTAAAGGCATAAATAGTATACAAATCTTGTTATTTGCAAACAAATTATTTAGGTAGAATGCCTCATTTGAAAAACACACTATTTTTTAGCACTAAATTATATCTTTCGTACAGATATATAATCAACTTTTTTTACATTAAGGTATTCATCGATTTTTACAGATATTTGTTTGAATAGTGTTTCTTTTATGAAGCTACACCTTAGGCATAGCACGCACTACGATTTTTCAGAGCGCGATTATTTTATCGCAAAAATGTGATACATTGAAATGTACTGCACCACGCGCACATGTGAGAAAATAATCGCGGCGATTTTAGAATTGTGATTTGTTGCATTTTGCTTGCGAAGCCATTATCGCTTCGCAAAATTTGCATCACATGATTGTTTATGAAGACTCGCGCACAACGATAAAAAAATCCTCAGCACGAACCACGAGTGCTCAGTAGTCAAAATGTCGCAGCCGGTATCACCTGCTTCTCCGTTGCTGGCCGACGAGACGATAGACATCGAACGGATGATAAGGTGAATTTACATGGCGCCAGTAACTCGTCCGAGTAACTAAAGCCGAGTACTAGATTTTAATACTCTCTACGTGTAAACAGAACTTTTAGTGTTACTGAAACACTAAAACGCCTGTTTACACGATGCAAGTACTAAAATCCAGTACTCGGTTTTAGTTACTCGACCGAGTTACTGGCAGTGTGTAAATTCACCAATAAGTGAAGTCGAACGTATAGCAGCTATATGGGATAAACATTTTACTGACTACTGTAATCGGAATTTGAAAACTAACTTATGGGAGGAGGTTTGTAAAAATCTTATAAGTAATTGGAATGAACTGAGCAATCAAGAAAAAAAAAGGAAAGTCGATTGATGAACGAGAATTGAGGGAGATATTTGCATTTGCATAATAAAATACTTTGTCCGACGGAGCACGCCAGAAAGACGTCGGCAGATCCTATCAGTTGTTAAGTTCATCCGCAACAAATACACGGGAGTAGTATATGAGCAACACATTTATGACGACCACGTTATTTTTAAGTATTTTACTAAGCGTGTTACGGTATTCTGTGTCATTAACAATGTGTGATATTAATTATAATTATATAAAAGCAGATTCGACTAATCTGCCAGAAATGAAAGGATCATCTAATGCTGTTTTGCCTTTGTCTTTTTAAAAACGCTGTTCGAGGAATGGCAACAGGAAACTACTGTTTTCAGTTTTCTTGACAATTAAAAGATGTAAAACACTAGGTATATATTTACTTATTACATTGTTCATTGACTTGAAATACATGTAATTATCCACGTTAAAAATACTTTTAAAATTATCTTTTACATTAGCCCTCTTCTTTCGTGCTGAACAAACTGAATGTACTAACAGTGATTTAACTGAAAGTGAACAGTATATTCACTTCAGTTCACTTTCCAAAAGAACGGCTATATCTGTGGATACAGGGAATTCTGTATGCATTAGTAAGATTTTTATAAAGGTAACCCACATTCTCTTCTCTCTCATCTTATACACAAACACAATATAAATATTACTTAATATTTTGACAACTAAATTTTATTTAATATGGCTGACGTTAGTCTATCTCTATCTTTTGATAAAAATGGCTACTAGTTTCATATATCCATTACGCAACAAACCATGATACAATAAAACCAAAATTATTTAAGTGTGCAAATTTAACAACCTTTATTTAATCTCATTATATCTAAGACTGCTATAAGCATACTGGAAAACCTCTATCAAAATGGCAATATATTTTAAAGGATCAAAATGTTTCAATCCAACTTTCAAGTAGCAATACAGTTTTATAAATGTTATAAGATTACACTGATTTATAAAAGACCTATTTTTATTTTGTTAGAGGCAAGATTAAAGCTTTGTATGATATGCTTTTATCAAATATTATCGACCAGAGCAAATAGTATTGAGATTAATTGGTTTTAAAAAGTTACTAGAAAGACGATTTAAAACTAAGCATGAAAGAAATAATAAAACTCTTAAGTCTTCGTTGAACTTAAAAAACAAAACCATATTGCATTTAAGGGTGTAAAGGATGCCTTAAGACCAACTAGCCTTATAAAGGTGGTACTGGCTACTAATAATAAAGAATTAATAAGGGCTAATATACTTTGAGAGCAAATAGTCTTGAGGAAATTCATGCATAGAACTTCTTTATAAAGCTCTTTTGTCTTCAAGTAATATTTGCATTTATTACAGCAATTTTAGAACTATTTTAATTTTTTTAAATTGCAATGAAACTTTCATAAAAATTTGGAACAACCATTAGGCTTTTAAAATATTACAATATTAGTTTGGTAGTTCATAGAAAAAAATGATTGTTTTATCTCCAAAATATGTCACACAAACCAGAAAATTACAAATCAAAATAATTCAATTTCGTTTAGTAAACTATGACTAATCTAGTCTAATACCCAATTACCTCCATCATCATTGTCTCTAGGTTAGTGCGAATACAGTTAGATTTAATCAAATAAAACGTCAAATTAAGTGTAATAATTAATTAATTAGAGAATTACCAAACCCATATTATATAACAGCCTTAAATGTCCGTATTTTCCGTCATTTTACTAGACATAAATTATTTGTCAACAATAAAATATTCAGTACAGTGCTTCTACCTTCGCAACAAATTTAATAACCATTTCTGCTGCTACGAGCACGTATATTGAGACGAATCTAGCGTTAGTTATCCGTATTAGAGCACATTCAATGATGCGATGAATGAGGTATTTCGTATGTGAGGTAGTAAAATTTATTAGGAGCTATTTCTTCTCTTCTTTTTTTTACAAACATTTTATTACATTTTCGACAAATTGACACGAAAAAAGTACACTCAATTTCTTGACTTTATGCTTTAACATAAAGAATTTCAAAATTTCAGGACTTAATATGTAACGAGTGTTAAAAAAAGACGTTAAGTTGCCCATACGATGCATCATATTACGTTATTATTTTTCTTGCATTAATAGAATTAATAAAAATTTGTTGAAACAGAACATTTATAAAAAAAATTACAAAAGGTGCTGAAAGTGTTCACCACCTTGCTCCAGACACTTCTGATCCCTTTTTTTAACTGAAAACATTTTGCAGAATAATGAGATTGTTGTTGATTTCTTCAATTTTTCTCCACAATTCTGACTTGAAGGTGGTCGATGTAGGAAATAGGAAATTAAAAGATTTAATTAATGTCACAGGATCTTGGAAGAAGGAAATTCCTATACAGCATCAAGACCAAATAAATGATCTTGAAAAGTTGTGTCAAAAAGACCATAATTATTTTTGATGAATAACGTGTGTCTCTAACTTCAATAAAAAAAAAGTTACGGCGAGTTAATTACAACAGTTTTTGGCCCGCTCTTGGTTCTCATACCGTAACTGCTGCGCTCACTGTGTCAACGCTGGACAGCAACATTACGAATTGAAATGTAATAATAATTAATAATAAAATGTTATTTTGGAGTGTCAAGAAAATTACGGAAGTAACTGATACCTAGACTAATAAATAACCGCCTTAATTATGTTAGGTATTTAAACATAATATACTCCATAATACCGTTTAATCTAATCAAGAATCAGTGACAGAAAAATGATTTGGGTAGTTCGATATGAGAACTGCTGCGTGATTATTAGATGAGAAAGATAGGAAGATCATGGTACACCCCCTTTTCTCCTTTAGTTTTGAAGATAATTGATTGAAATTTGACACTAACTTTCGATTTTTAAATGGAACACCTTATATATGGGGTTATCATAAAGTAAGGGGTCTATTTTAAATTCTTATACAGTTTTAAGAAATTATGCTAGTAGCAGAAAGTAAACAGA